GCACTCATTTACAACCTCAATATCTCCCCACTCGCGGTAATCCCGCCACGAAACAACTCTTCAATCACTTTCCCACTCACAACCGTCTGCTCGATGATCCCTTCTACATGTCTCGGTTCAACCCGGCCATACCAGATTCCCATACCCCTCAGTGGATGAGGTGGTGGCGCACCAGATGCCCGCTGAGACATGTCAGATGATGGATGCTGAGAGTCAGGCATCGCGTCGCGGGTTGACGTAAAGGTTGGAGGGATGTACACAATCACATTCCCTGCCCATTTATGTCCTCCCACATGGGATATCATACCCACATTAACGTGAGCCTGCAGGGAATCGGAAGTCGAAGCATGCGTGTTCGAGACGGAGGACTTGAAGGTGGTGTCTAATGACGGACTCTCTGCCTGGATGTCCTCTTTTCCTCCTGAACCATGTTCACCGGAAACTTCGTTGTCGGAGGCAACAAATTCTCCCGGAGACTGCGGAGTGACGAGCTTTATGCCTTTAGCATCCCGCCTCCGCTGAGTGATATAGCTTCGGAATTCATCATGTAATAATGGGCCTAGTATCCCACATCGACTGTCCCTCTGATGATGGCTGCAAATCAATATCGTCGGGTTCGTGATTGGGCTGCTGTGGAATTTGGAGGCGGCAGTAGCGTCCCGGGTTTTCGCTGCCCGCTCCTGTTCCGGGACGTCTTTGTAGATAGGATGTAGCCTGTTGGGCTCCGGGAGGAGGTAGCCGCGGATGAAGTCGTTCAGGTTGCCTGAATCAGCGGTTGATGGGGAGGATGCATTCTTTGATGCTGTTCTGCTCTCACTGAGAGGTGATAGGTGTCTAAAGCGTCGGAAAGCCGGGAAAATAAGGGCTTCCACACCGTTGACCTCTCTATTACCCTGTTGTCTTTGCGTCGGTTCTGGTCTAGATGTGAACGACGACGTATTAACAAGAATATTGTTATAGGGCTAGATCTCAATCCTTGTGTAAGTCAGCCAGGTCTTGTCATATCTCGCCAAATCAGTGTATGCCTCTGAGCATGTCTTAGCGTTTCCCAGCTCTTTTTCATTCTGGAAACAGCGACAAAACACATCCCGTGCGAAGACGACTTACATCGTGAAACGGTCCATGCCTCCCCAGCAACGCCTTGACGTCTCCTACCACCTTCCCCCATACAGTGCCATTATTGTGTTCGTCTTCTATCCTGGAAGTCCAATCCGACTGGCCCGTAGAGATGAGAAGGTGCTGCGCATATGGGGACATGGAGCCATTGAGACTTCTGCTTCTATCGATTTCGAGATCGAGCTTTGGGGTGGAGCTGCATGGACATGATGGTTCGGGACATGTCTCGACAACAGGGAACGGAGGAGTTCTGGCTGTGTTAAGGCTACGGCGGGAGGATGAAAGAGGTACGCAGCGACACAAGGGACGTGTTGTGGTTGTCGCAGGCAGGGAGGGATTGGTCAAGCCGAAGAGCGAGGGGTTCAATCGAGGCATCCCATCAGAGGACGTTGGTACTTTGGAAGAAACACAGTGTACGAGGGAGGTGAAAGATTGAAAGTGCCTGTTCACTCGACGCGTTTACAGTCTCTATCTCATTAGCAGCTGTAGTTAGGCCGGACGTGCCGGCGATGAAATAAATGATGTCAACCAAAGGAAAAAAGTACATGCGCCTCGGTCCGGATTTGGACGAGGAACGATGCCGCCCTGTGTTCGGCGAGAAATGACCCGCGCGCCCTTGGCACATCACAAGGAGGGAAGAAGAGGAGATTCAGCCTGATGATAAAACAAGTACAGAGTGTTTGACAGTTGTGGTTTCGCTTTGTATATTTCTGCATTGGAGCATCGAATCCGTAAGAATTTTGAGGTGATGATGACTGGACCTGCAGACTCCTCTCTACTTCATTGTATCATTTAACCCTCTCCAGCAAGCAAAAGCTCGACTCGGGTCAAGAACCGATTCGCTCGAGATGAATGAGATAAAACACGAGCACAGAATCAAATCCGCTTGATTGATTTGATACAAGATTCTATTGTTGGGCGAATCTCACCCATAGATGGATGTAATGCCACAAAGGCACTTACTGGATTTGGGATAAAAGACCCCATGGAGAGATGGTTCTGGCCACCAGCGGCGCGCGTCTTGGGATCTGGGCCGATTACCCAATTGCGCCAAAAAGTCCAAAACACTCAATCAATGATAATGGGACAACTCGATCAACGTCCTAATTCGGCAGGTAGGGAACACTTGTGCTGGACCACCTCGCGCAAGCCAGTATGAATGATAAATACCAGTCTAACACGATGCCCAACTTCCAACTAACAAGCAATTCGTGTCGCTAGCACTGACCAGAAGACCGACTCTCGAAGCTTAAAAACTTAATTTTTCTATATCAAACTCTCGGTTCAATAGACACTTTTGCATTCATGGCTATCCTCAACTATCTAGGGTTTGGCCGCCAAACGCCAGCGGCAAAAGATGACTCCAAGACTGCCGTCCGTGCTCTTCCAGCGAGCTGGTACACATCTGAAGAAATGTACCAGCTAGAACGACGAGCAATCTTCTCCAAGAGATGGATGCTTATCACGCACAGAACGAGACTCAGTCAGCCGGGCGACTACCTGAAATTCGACGTGGCCGGCTACGAGTTTGTCCTGTGCCGGGATCGCAAGGGAGAAATTAACGGATTCCACAACGTGTGCCGCCACCGCGCATTCCCCGTCGTGCAGGCCGAGCAAGGGACCGCAAAGATCTTTGCATGCAAGTATCACGGATGGTCATACGGGCTCGATGGAAGACTCGCAAAGGCGCCCAAGTACGACGAGCTCGACGACTTTGACAAGACGCAGAACGGGCTGTTCCCAATCCACGTGCGTGTGGACGCCTGCGGATTCATCTGGGTCAATCTCGACAGCAGCGAGACGCCCGAAGTGCCGTGGGAGCAGGACTTCGACCACGTCGACACCCAGGAGCGGTACATGGTGTACAACTTTGACGACTACGTGCTCGACCACGAGTACAAGCTCGACGGCGCGTACAACTGGAAGATCCTGGCCGACAACTTCAACGAGTGCTACCACTGCCCCACGGCCCATCCGGATATCCCTACACTGGCGGACATCGAGACGCACGACGTGACGGGCGTTGACGGGTACATCACGCATCAGTCGACGCCGACCGAGGAGCAAAAGAAGCTAGGCATGGCCATTGCCAGCACATATTTCTTTCCCAACGTATCCATTTCCGTCCTGTAAGTTTTTCTTTACTCCTTCATCCCCCTCCCTTCAATCCCTCAATCCAGACAATCTACTTCCTACGATGAAACTTCGGCACCCGGCTAATCACTTTTTATGAACCTGGTGGGAGAAAAATAGACCACACTTCATCATGCTGCAGCGGTTCCTGCCCAACGGCCCCAAGAGCTCGTCGATGCACTACCAGATCTACCGCAACCGGAACTCGTCCGAGGAAGACTTTCAGCGGATCCACCAGCTATACGCCAAGGTGGTGTCCGAGGACAAGATCCTGTGCGAGCTCGCGCAGCGGAACCTCAACGCGGGCGTCTTCGTCAACGGCGAGATGCACCCGCGCCTCGAGAAGGGCCCGTTGTACTTCCAGCAGCGCGCGCGCGACGTCATCCGCGAGCACGTCGCACAGGAAAAGGCCGCGCGGCGCGAGATCTGGCCCGCGCAGCAGCGTCTGCCGGGCTCTGCGGCCGTGAGCCAGGAGGACGTCGATCTGTGTTCCGGCCTGGCCTGTCAGGCTGAGCCGGCGGCGGGGTTGGCGTGGTGAGGTGAGGTGAGATGAGGTGCGTTTTGATATCCCAGACGAGACAAGAGGAAGTAAAAGACAGAAGGAGGAAAAGGGTTGGAAAGAAAGAAAGAAAGCAAGCAAGCGATCGACACATCGACTATGACCAGAGAATTTGCATGTGTTGTTCTCGTACTGTTAAAGATTTGTGGGCATTTACGGGACCATTCATGAGCGTTTGTCGGGCGTTCCGATCTCTTGTCTGTTCAGGGCCTTGATTACTGGTAAGGAGACAGTATGTACTCGTGAGACATGACCGCAGGCATGTACATACATACCAACATTCAAACGAGATCGCCATCTTCTGTGCATTACTTATACCTATGCCTATCGCCATCGCAATCCCTGTGCCTATACCTGTACCTGTACATATCACTATACAAGCCCCTAGAGACCACGCCTCCCTGCACCGCACTGCACTAAATTTCACTAGACTGCCCTGATGAGATAATACCTACCGACTACGTCCCTATCACATCGCAATCAATTCCACGCCAAATTCCTTAAACATCCTCGCTTGTCGCCTTTGAAATCAACCCCCGCGCACTGCAAGGGCCACCCATCCGCGTGAACAAAGAAATGTTGACAGCGTGGTCGGCCAAGATAGGTAACATAGATGTCACGGCTACCTTATCAGGCTTATCGTCTTATCATCTCATCCGTCTTATCTCTCTACCGTCTCACCATACCATATCGGCAGTCTAGTTTACTAAGTGGTAATCAAAGAAAGGGGTAAAGTACACTCGGTACTCCGGACCGGCATTCGGGGTTCTCATTGTTCGAGGAGGAGATGGCGGTGGAAGTGGTTCAGGATCTGGATCTGGATCTGCTGGCATCTTGCTGGAAGGAGGAATATTTGGAGTGCACCCTGATTCAGCTGTAGATGCACTCGGTGCCTCGTAGATACTGGTAAAGATAGATCTTCCCTTGCTGCCCGATCCATCGAGCCACCAACATGACCTATCCCACTCATTGATCGATGTTCGTTTTCCAAGACTACCCAGAACGGATGGACAGGTCGAGGCTGGCGTACTTTTTCACCAAGTTGGGTTAGTTCTGTGTAGGGGGTGGGGCCCCCGGACAGAGTCAGACGGCAGCCTTGCGCCGTGTCCGGCCGATCAGGTGCTTGAACCTCGCACCAGAACAAACCCGGCCCAATCACTTTGTCTCGGGATCAATGGTCCTCGTATTTGTCTCACCCAAGCACAACTGTTGCAACGAGTCAGTAACAAAGTAACATGGTTCGGGACTGTGAATCGTGACGACCCACTCCCGGAAAACTCACCTTGCCATTTCCAGTCTTCCATGACTTTCAACCAATGCAATTCCCCCCTCACCGTGTAATGCAAATTGCCCGCCCTCGTGATGTTGTCGATTCCTTTCTTGAAGGCCAGCGAGTCCGGGAAGCTGGATGACGGGGTATTATTGAGTTTGACCGCGTTGCATCGACATCGACGACTCCCTTCCTCGGACTTCTTGGAGGACGCGACAGACAAGTCAGTGTCCGTCAAGGTGTCCATGGGGGAGCCGGTCCCGGTCGACCTCGGCCGATAAGCACCACAGCTGGGGCACGCGCCACGTTGTGCTTCAAACGTGTCCTTCCTCCTCCAGACCTCCTTTGTGACTTTCAGGCACTTGTCCAATCTCGAAATTGGCATGCGCTTGGCCATAGCATCCCATCTCTGACAGACCCAGTTGCGGTCTTCTTCATCAAATGCCTCGCCGCCAATCGCCATCAGGGGGAATATCTGGATAACTATCGTTCGAGACGTGACCGGCGTAGTTGCAAGATAGATTAATACTTTCTCCGCGAGTTCCAACATTGAAAGAGCCCACGGAAGCTCTGGTACGGCGTGCCGAAGCAATAATAACGCTGTCCAACGGTATGCTTCGGCCGTCTGTATGATATCAGAGACGTGAGATGGGGGGTTTTCTGACTGCTGTGGATCAAACGATGGGCTCCAGTCCTCGATGGCTGTCCATAACTCGGCGCCTCTGGAGATAATGGATGGAGAGTTGTGTTTCTCGGTTCTCCGCCGGACAGCCTTGATAATATTGGTTAGACGCGCAATCAGCGGAAACAGCGTAATTGCACAGCCAAGAAGCGGATCGAGCTGCTGTTCGACTGGCAGACGATCGAGCTCAATGTACCTTGTTATGGACTCGACGTCGAGGAACTCGCCATCGTCAGACGTTGTCAACCCAGTCATTACGACCTTGTACACCCAAGTGCGCGCCAGGAAGTTCAAACGATCTAGTTCATCACTCGTTAGCTTTGTAATCCTGTCTTTATCGAAAGCGCCTCGAAGTAGCGTTCCAGCAGTTTTGATGTGTTCGACACCAGGAGAGGCTGCTTGGTCGTCCCATGCTTCCGCGAAACCAAGGGCCAATCTTGCGGCGATAGAGGCTTCAAGACTGGTGTCCGGCTTGTTTTGATCCCGTGCCAAAGCCTCGAGGCTGGCGTGGAAATTCCTTGATCCAACTCCACTGAATTCGGGCCGTGCATTGCTCAGGTATAGATATGTCATCGCTGCAAGAGCATGGTAGAGTGCCGGGCACTCATCAGCTAGTGGCCATACATATAGTCGCCACGGATTCGTGAATGGATCGTCCTTGATAGAAAGAGCATCACAGAGATGCCTGTCAAAAAGTTGCTTGACTGTTTTTGGGGTGTCTGAGAATGGTGAGGGCCGTTCGCGAAGGACAGGATTGTCTTCTATGTTACCGCGTCGCAGGCTAGGTTGACCAGAATCAGCTGCAGTCCCACTCTGTCCCTCATAGTCCCGTGGGATGTAGGGTGGTGAGATAATCAGGTCGGATAAGTCGGTGCCCTTTTCTTTCCGCATATCTAAATCTATCCCATGTCTTGAGGAAGACAGATGACTATCGGTCATTTCTAGTGACGGCCCGGGGGAGGTATTGGTCGGAGAGCCCAGATCGCTAGGCACATTCAGATCGATGTTTCCTTCGCCGAGGAAGAAGTCGACGCTGAAATCAACATCACCAAAGTCAAAGAGTTGGTCTTGCGGTAATGATTGCCAGAGAGGCTCTTCTCGAGTCCGTGCTGATGACGCGCTATTGGTGCTCGCGATGCCCTGTGCCATACTCGCTTCAGCCTGGAGAGGTGGTGTTGTAACATGGTCACCTGAAGTTGCATCCTTGTAAAATGGTCTCGATATCCGTTCGATAGACATGTTCTCCAAGCTTTGAAGTTGCCTTTCTGCCAGCCAGTCAGTGTCACAGTCCGATAAGGCGACAACATGATTGATAAAGGCTGAATGCTGCGATCGTACCCTCTGGCCGGCTGCGCTTTTTGGGCTGCTCTCCCACCAACTTCCACTTGAGGTTTCTGACATAGCCGCCGCATTCGACGCCTCTGTCGAGGCACTGTGTGCAGGACGGTTTGGCTTCTAGAAGCGGTCAGCGGACTTGCGGCTGCCATAACAAACAATGTGGGCAATGATAAGTGACTCCATGGTGAGAATCAAACATTCTCGTATGCAACAGATAGTTGTGACACGAATAGCATTCGCTTTTAGAGAAGGTGGCTCTCACCATCACATTTCATGCGTCGGGCTTTGCAGGTATTGCAGCCTGATGAAAGATGCACAGGTTAGCGATCGGTTCATTGTCACTTGTACCCAGAACAGCGGATACATAAACGCCAAACGGCAGTCTCAATCCGAGGTGTAGCTCACCCGTACGGCTTTTTGGCTGTCTACGCTTCGACATGGTGTTTTCCTGCCTCTGCTCGGGATTACTGCTCGTGAATCGGGTTGCTTGAGGGCCATTTGTCGGTTGGCGTTCGGCTCCGGACATGGAGTGGGCAGACGCTGGGCTCGGCGCATTCAGGGGCAAGCAGGATGGTGTAGTCTTCCGTAGAAATGGGCCGATTGCAATAAGAGAACGACTTTGTTGTGTCAATGTCGCCGTCGGTGGGAGGGTCAGCGAGTGTGAATGTGGAGAGAACTTTGAACTGATAGCGGAGGTGGAGGCATCGGGCCCGGGAGCCGCTGCCGATGGACCAAGGCCTTGGGGATTGATTAGCTGGACAATGCAGGATAGCCATGCCTGAATAGGTCTAGGTAAGTCGATAACAAACTGGGCGGGTGTGATTGGTTGCTTGATAAGGAGAGATCGGCTTCGCCCAATCCGGAAAGCATATGCTGCCCACACAATTTGCATCAATGCTACTCTGTACTGTGGTACTCAGGACTAAGCGAACTAAACCAACACTGCTCTCATCATAATTGTTATTGTTGTAAACTATTAGATACTTATGTATTGACCAAAGGGTATCCCAACCTCGCATTTTTGTTCCTTCATATACCCACGCTTTTGGTACAATAGTAGTGTACACTTTCATGTCAATCACTGATGGCCCCCGACTTACACCCTCTCAGCATGAATCTCCCTACTCTGGTCGACTTCTTTGTCACCATCATGCCCCCTTTCCGTCTCTCCGCTGTAGATGCCCCGGGACTCGACATCCTCTGATGCAGCAACCTCAGTGCCGGCCTGCCTTCTGATTCGGGCCATCTCCGCCGCAGGTGGTGCTTCCCACTTGGAAGATTTCATGGGGGACACATGTTCAATGTACATAGTGTCTATTTCCTCCAGTGTTCGTCCTTGTCCTTCAATAACGAAGAAGTAGACAAGGAGACCTGCAGCCAAATTGCAGCCGGCAAACACGTATCCATATCTGAAATCGATTGCACTGATGATGAACGGAGTGAAGAATGCAATGAGGAAATTCCAGGTCCAGTTGCTTGCTGTTGCGATGGCCATACCCTTGGCCCTGTATCGTGATGGGAAGAGTTCGGCAATCAAAGTCCTAGAATCGAACAGTTAGCGGAAGTCAACAGTAGCCGGATGGACACATGTTTTTCTTACCAGACCATCGGACCCCATGTGGTAGCAAACCCCAGAATAAACAAACACGCAAATACAATCATGGCAATACCAGCCTTCGGCGTTCTGGCTGGATCCTGGTTGTCCAGGGAGAAGTGACCGACTGATGCGAAAATCATGAAGCAGACAAACATCCACATGCTCCCCGCGATCAACGACTTCCTTCGCCCATAGTGCTCGACGAGATAGAGACCGATGAAGGTGACTCCAAAGTTGACACCGTTTAGGATCATCTGAGTAACGAAAGAGCTGATCTGAACGGACTTGAAGATCGTTGTGCCGTAGTAAAAGAAGAAGTTGGCACCGGTGAGTTGCTGGAACATCTGTAACATCACACCCAGCGCAATTCGGTATCTAGACCCGCGGAGTCAGCATTCCACTTCCTCTGGGCGTCCTGTGTGTTGGTACTTACCCCATCCTTGGTGCTCTGAGCATGACGACAAACTCATGGATTGGATTTCCTTTTGTCTGGTCCTCGGCACGGAATTTGCTCTCAATCTCCTCCATTTGCGTATAGATGGCGTAGTGGTTGGCAGGAGCACCGTACACCTTCATCAGCGTTTGCTTGGCCTCTTCAAACCTCCCTCTGCGGTAGGCATATCGCGGAGTCTCGTCAAAGAACAAGATGCCCACTCCCAGAATGAGTGTCCATAGCCAACCGAGGCCAATGACAATCCTCCAGGATGCCGAGTTGTTCTGCTGGCCTTTATACGTCCCGTAGTTGAAGCACGCGGCAAGGAAAATGCCGAGTGTGATAAAGAGCTGGTAGGTGCACACGAGGGCGCCACGAATCCACGGCGGAGCAGTTTCGGCTTGGAACATGGGGACAAGGACTGATAGGGCTCCCACTCCAAGGCCAGCCACAAGTCGACCGATCATAACCTGATACCATGCATCGACGGACGCAATCTGAATAACGAATCCGACCGAGACGATGATAGACCAGAAGCTGATCGAGAATTTACGCCCAATCCTGTCGGCAATTGGAGCAGCCAACAAAGCCCCGATAAGAGTTCCAATGGATAGCTGAAGCACGTTAGTCAGGGTTCGAAAGAAATGGCAAGAATGACTCTCGTCCGTACCATGGCAACTATAAGTCCGGATCTGACATCGCTAAATTTATACTCTCCATTTCCGTGAGATTGTGCAAACCGCTTGAGAAAATCCGGCATCTCCAAGAAGCCCGAAATCTGGCCGGTATCGTAACCAAAGCTGGAAGGCATGTTAGCTGTTGCAGAGCCGTAGAATAGGTGCAACTTACATCAAGCCACCCATTGAGACCAAGCAGCCCATGGCCAACGAGCGACCCGTCACCCGAGGGAGGGGAGAGTAGTCGAGGCCTGCCAGAGAGCGCCTGACATCTTCCCCCTTCTCTGAATTAGGGTTATACTTATCAAAGTAAACTTTGGTGCTCATGCCCTTCATGTTGGGCGGTGGTGATGAGGATGATCGCGGGATACCTTTACAAGTTCAGCAAGCCTCGAAGGACGGTTTCTCTTCAGCAGTGGGGAAGAAAGGGGGGGTTTATTATACACCGGGCGACCATGGGTAATACTTCCTGGGCTCTGATATCATTGCGCGACGAACAAAGAAAACCTGGGGTTAGCCTATGGAATTCTCCTGTGGAAAAAAGTGGCGACCAAGAAAAGCCACATCGGCTACCGAATAACAGTTCGGCACGCGGCGAGTGGACCCAGAAGTGCAGGGGCAAGGATGATTCTCGCTTGAGCAAAGGTCAGACGGTCTATCCATGACAGGTATAGGGATTTGAGGATCGTGAGTTGCCAGCCCGCCGTGGCTGCGTGGATACTGGGAAGGATTCTTGTCAAGAGAATCTTCACGGCGACTCTCCCAGCATTGGCTTTGGTTCTAACCTTAAAGATCGACGTCACATTTGCGTTTAGCGCAACTTGGCATTGGGTGAGTGACATCACGGCTTGCTCCTCCCGCACATCTTTGACTTGTGTTCAAGACATCATCAAGCAACAAAGACATCACCAACACCGCCAAACGTCCTGCTTGGCAGCGCAAAGGCGATCATTGCGTCAGTCGATTCCTCCTTGCCCACTGTTCCCATCTCATTGGCGACAGTCCAGCCCTACCACGTGTGTTCCCGCCTCGATCTTCGATGTGCTTCTAGCTCCTTATCCACTCGATGTCGAAGCTCGAAATCTTAGTTTCTGCTTATGATCACAAGAGTTCAGGCACGAGGGCACAAGAGAGCGGATTGTGGGATTCAAAATTTGATCCAAGAGCGCATTGATGATCCCACAAGCACGGGTAGATGCGAATGGTCAAGATGTGCGCAGTTTTATGCATCCAGTCTGGGTACTCGGCATCGCAGCAGGATACCTGGAAGCCGGCGCGCACACTGACAAATATCGTAAGAGGAAGCGACTTCCTGAAGAGGGGTTGATCTGCTTGGATACTTGCTGCTCTTGCACTACAATAGAAGCCCTTTCCGAAGCACGACGAAAATGCTGCTTGTGATGAATTTCTACTCTACTGTAGATTCGAACAGATTACAACCTAAGCCCCTTAGGCGAGCAATCTGAAGTGCCTCTGTTCGGATGCGACAGCACTCCTTATCACATGGAAACATCTCTTGCGGGGGTATATTGCGTGTCATTGTAATCATTCAATATATGTGTATAGCGTGAAGGAAACAAGTCATCTCTCAGATCCTACTGCACCAGCTTGGCGACTCCTCACGGCGTTTATGCGGTCTAGCCAAGCTTTGCAGTAGTTAATTCGAATGTCCAGTTGCTATACAAGCATATCGCAGCCACTGTAAGTCATGTCTCTCCCCCCTTATTTCCATTATCTACGCCGAACAGCAGTTCCTCGCCCAGACCATCTGCATGTCACCGCCAGCCCATCACCCTCTCCTGTCCTCTTCGTCTTGGCTCATGCTCATGCTCCATGGCTTGGAAATCGTCATCGTCCAGCTCGTCAGAATCCCACTCATCCTCCAGGTCTTGTTGAGCAAGTTGCAGAAATCTTTCTAGACCCATCACACGAACGGGGCCTGCATGTGCACCATGGGCAGCGCCTGGGTGATTTCCTTGGCCAGGCGCTGCAAGCGGAAGCTGTGCTGGTCGTGCTGCAAGATCATTGTTTCCGTGACCGTTGACATCTGGTAGGGCATGTTCATCTCTGTCAATTTGCTGGTTCGCATCATTCTGGTCACCTCCGGCTGCTCGTACATCTTGAGCTATCGGCGCCACAGGAAGACGCACCCGACCTCGAGGTTGCGCTCGTGCTCGGTCTGCGCGTCCAGGCTCGTTGACCATCGCACGTTGACGGTTGGCTTGCTGACCACCGCCTCTTCGTCGAGGTCTGGCTCTAGGCGGATGTGGTGCCGGTGGCGGTACTGGCGCTTGAGCTCGTGGTCGTTCAGGAAGGTCTATTCGCTGAGCGTTTGGTGCTCCAGGCCGTGCAAAGTTCACGATTTCGATATGCAATTGCCGGTTGCGTCGTTGGTCAGGTGCTGGCTCTTCGTCATCTGTATCTTCTTCGTCGGCAAAGGGCCGGCCATGGTCTCCTCGAAAGGCGGCGAAGTTCTCTGGGGGTAATTCTTCGTCGTCCGATTCCTCTTCAGGAATATCTATCTCGTGCCATTCCGCAAGATCAGGATTCTGAAGTCGTCCTGCTTCAACTTCTTCGCCGTCTCCCTCTTCCATAACCCACAAACGCATGTAGCATTTGCTCTTGGGATCGTTGTAGTGGCTGTAAGGATTGTCAGGCAGAAGCCATGCTTGACATAGGTAGCAGAAATGGCATTTGCATCTGAAGCATGTCATGTGGTTGCACCCCATGGTCTTCTGCGCGGGCGCACTGCAGGTTGGACAAGGTGTGGAGTATTTCTTCAGATATGCCTCCGACGCAGCTTCTTCCTCGTTGATCTCCTTTTGCCGGCGAGGGCTGCATCTTACGAGTTCCCCGTGCCACCCTTTCTGACAGACACTGCAGAATGCAAAGTCACAGTCTTCGCACACAGCCAGACGTTCAGACACGGGAAGATCCTCTGGGTCGCGTTGGGTATTGTTCTGTTGCCCAGGCGCTGGCTCTGGCATTTCTTCCTCCTCGGAGTCGGACCCCTCCTCAATATCATTCATTGGGTCAATGGGTTTGGGATGTTTTTTGGATTTGGCGGCTCCTTGGCACCATTGTCGGGGGCAATAGATGGTGTTCTTGTCTGATTCGAGTCGCTTCTTTCGCTTGAGCCGGACATAGCGCTGAACCAGTGCTTGTTCCAGGGGAATCTGTAACAGCTCGCTGGGGTTGAGAGTTCGATCTTGTCTCCGTCTCTTCAAGGGCCTACCATTGGCGCCCACCTGTACAGGCTCGTCCTTGCCGCAACTCGGATCGAGACATTTGACGTTGTCAACGTCTCCCTCCGTTATGCAACTCTTGAAAAATTCCTGCAAGCATGCGATGCAAAAGACGTGCCCACATGACACCAGGCGGTGGCATTGTATCCCCTTTTTAGGTTCCAGACAAATTCCACAGTCAAATGTCCCTTTCTCAAAGAGTTCACGCTTTGTCTTGAGGTCGAAATCCAGCATCGCCACCTTCAAATCGCTAGACAATTGAACATCGGTCTCGCCCGCAAGACCAAAAGCTCGTTCCCCCTCTTGTTGGACATGGTCTATGTAGGCATAAACAACCTGGTCATTTCCCAGCTCTTCCCATAGTCTATGACAATCATCTCTGAGCCGCTTTAGGGCGGGTCGGGGTAGCCACTGGGGTGTAACGGACACCGAGACAACTGGAGGCTTAGTGGCTGGATAGCCCTCGGGCAGCGAAATTCGGAGTGATAGTGGAGGCAGATGAGACAGTTCATGGGCGTCAAGAGGGAGGACAGGGTATTGCAACTCAGGTTTCGCATCGCCCTCATTCTGACTTTGTTCTGGGGAGGTGGGTGGTGTGGGTAGTAAAGGTGGCGCACTGTCTGCAGCGGGTTTGAAGAGAATGCGCAGGGGTTGAATTGGTGTTACGGCGAGATCGAGCGTAGCAGTATATGGATCTTGATCATCGACCACGAGTTCAGGGTAGATGGCGGCGATGGTCGAGAGTTCACCAGCTCTTTCGTCTTCGGTAGCATATGACTCATCATCCATCTTTTACGTGTATGTAGAGATCGATTATTGTGAGAATATGGGGAAACGGAAGAATTGCGAGGGTCGACGGTCGAGTTATTAAGACGACATGAGAGATACCGCCACAAGTCAGTAGAACCAGTAAAGACACAATAGACTCAATGGATCCTTTGTTCGAGGGGTCTTTGTAGAAAAAAGACAAAGCAAGTCACAACGGACGCATTATGGATCTCTGGTCCTCGGCAGAAGGTCTCGACTCATTCATGCATATATACAAACAAACCAAACAATGACGCACCAGGCGCAGAAAGGGAAAAAAAGAGAAAAGGCCTCGAACCTGATTGATGGAGAAGTTATCGATGAGGCACCCAGACGAGTCGACACTAGAGAACAGCTTGGAGGGGCTTGAGGGGCCAGCTTACTTGGGTTGGTGGCACAGTTGGTGGCTTGTGCCTCGCCACACTGCGTTCAGCCTCGCTTCTCATTACTCACGTCTCCTTTTCACATCCTTGATATCTCTTTCATTCTTCTCACCGGTTGAGTCATTGTGTCATCTGTTTTCCACCTGTGGTAAATACCAACTTTGTGTCAGGCATGGACGATCCGCCTCTCGCCTCGTTGTCACTCACCCACGTTCGCTATGTAAGTCCTTACCTCGTCCACCATGGAAAATCAGCTATTATTGTGGCACAACTAACAGCACCAGACTCCCGGTGACCCCATATCCTACGCATCAGCATGGCTGGCTCTGGTGCCACAGGGTCTCTGTGTGGTCTATGTCACTCTGATATGGGCGTCACGGGAGGCAGAGATATTCCTCATGTTCGCCGGCCAAATGGCGTGTGAAGTGGTGAATTTCGGTCTGAAACGGCTGATACGGGAAGAACGTCCCAAACGTACGTTGCGCCTTTTCCTCAGCTATGAACCCATCAATCCATCATTGTCTAAGCTCTAAGAGTCGTGTTTGATTGATCTGTATGGCTGTACAGAAATGACAGGCAAGGGCTACGGCATGCCCTCTTCGCATTCTCAATTCGTGGCCTTTTTTGCCATCTCATTTAGTCTCTTCTTAATCTTCCGTCACGTCCCTGATCCTTCAGCGAGTTATTCGCCTACCAGCTTGACCGAGCGGGTCATTCTGTCTATGCTCGCCTGCATAGGCGCCGGCGCTGTTGCTGCCAGTCGTGTCTACCTGAACTACCACACACCAAAGCAAGTTTGGGTCGGGGTTGCTGCAGGAGCAGTTTTTGCCGTCATCTGGTTTTTATTCACGTCCTGTTTACGGCATTACGGGTGGCTGGACTGGGCGTTGGAGAGTTGGATATGTAGGAGGCTGAGAGTGAGAGACTTGATTGTCACAGAAGACATCCAGGACGCTGGTTGGGGAAGATGGGAGGAAAGAAGGAAAGAGAGAAAAAACAGAAAAGCGACGGCTTCTCGTCTGAAGAGTCAATAGCGGACCTCTACCAAAATTGATTCCTTTACCCTGAGTTGATTTGAGGAGCCCAATTCCATCAGTATATAGAGAACGCCTCCTGTGATCCCAGCTCGGGATTTCTATGCAGCTACCCACATAGACAAAGGTGGAACTTTGCCTATCTGTGTTTGTTGTGCGCAAATTCGGCCAGAGCCGCCTCTGATAAAGTCAATGGCCACAGCCCACGCGAAAAAGCATATGCACCCGCAACCAGGAGCAGGTAGTACGCCACCGTCCACCGCAACCCCAGCTTTTGACCTTGTGTCGCAGCCTGAATAAGGTCCCTATCGTCTTTGCCACGGATGACAACAGGGTGGATCGAGTAGTCCTCCGGTCTCCTCACGCGGCCCCAGAAACGAGGAAGACCAACACAGTTGCAGAATGAATGAATGATGATGCAGGCGTAGACCGAGCCCGTACGCATGTAAACAAAGGCGGCAAACCAGCCAAAAAGGGTGGTATAGGTGAACTGGAGTACGGACCTCAACACGACCGGCAAAAGTGGGATGTGAGGATGGGTCAAATGAAACTCGTAAAAGTGGTGGACATGGGCGATGCCGAAGTAGAGTGGTGTCAGGAAAACGATCCTGTCCGGGGAGATTTTGGCGAGCAGGTGGATTGGAATGAGAACGGATCGAAAGACAACCTCCTCAGTGATAGGCCCAGCGACGTAGTTCCTGTAGCCTTGCCAGCTGCTAAGAGTTTCGCTAATCGCAGCAACACCACGCTGGCGCAGGTTATCGAACTCTCCCTCCACGAAAACCTTCTCAAAGAGCGGTCCGACATACAACAACAATGTCAGAGCGAAGGATCTAAGCAGGTCCCATGGTCGAACCGGCCAACAGCCCAGCATATGCAGAGCATCGGTTACCGAGAGCTTCGCTGTTCCGACGAGCAGATAGAGAGTGCCAGTGGTACCAATGATACAAGCGAGTGTGACGGTCCGGATACGCGCGCGAATAACGCTGGGAGCATCGCGGTTTAGCGTTGGCGATGGCCTGGTGGAGGAGAAAAGGTAGAAAGGAACCACGTAGATCAGCGTGCAAAGAACCTGGTGGAGGGATGATCAGCAATCCGCGCGTGGTCAGTGTGTACACACCACCATTGGGCATACCGATAGTATGGCTGCTGTGGTAGGCGAGATGATGGGCTTGTCCTTGTCTGTTTCGTCATTCGGGTCAGCAACAAGCCTCAACGATCGGGGCCAGTCACGACATTATCGATATGTAACCGCATCAGTCGGGGTCAGGGCAATAGATCCGTAAACAACACGACGATTGGGAGTGTGTGTTGATCAATGGGTGGATTCGGGAGAGCATTGTTTAGATTGACAGCCCATTCATACAGAGACAAAGAAGGTCTGTGAGATAACTAGTTTCAGGGGAGCCGACATGTCGACAACTGCGAACCAATGAAGAGCCAACGTACCTGCATGGCCAAAATAAGTGTTTTTCAGCTGGAGGAAGAAGTTGACGGGAGCCATGGCGAGGCCAGGCGCAGGCTGCCAGCTGGCAAGTCGTTTAAACTCCAATAATGAGCACAGAGGATGTTGGGCCAGAGGGCCAGACTGTGGTGAGGTTGAAGTGGACTCTGGATAAAGGGGGCTTTGACGAATTCCCTAATCGATATGGTGGCGTCTTGGAGGGGGCGACGATGAGATCAGACACCCAACAGTCGGTGAAGGCAGCAATAATAGTCGATGCCACTGTGGCTGTCACCGACTCACCGCCAGCAATCTTTTCTCCGCTATCCAGAATCAAATCATTCTCTGGGGATTGAGCGGCGACGCTATTGACTTCAAGTCCCCAGAATTCGGACCCGGAAAATTGGAATTACTCCGTCTGTGTTGTTGCAGGCTGCGCCACTAACGCTTCTTCCATCCCCCTGTATGCAGCCAGATTGTCGCGTTAATTTCGTGACACACCGTGGTCCAATCGGGGATTTTCGATACTTCCAGTGTGCCACGCGATCAAGATGGAGAAAAGCGTGAGACGCGACCTGCCAACCAACACCCGAGACCCTCCTTGACACAAAAGCAATCGACAAGATGAGTCCTTTGAGCGTGGTCCTTGCGCAATAATACTCCGGATTGGCACCAAAAGGCCTGGGAGCCACTCCAATTTTACATGGGTTCAGCCTCCAAAAGAGAAGGAGAACAGGGATCACAAAGTCGCTTCGTCCCCTGATCGCGAATAGTCGAGAGGCGGGTAGCCAGAGGTCCGTCCAGGTTCAGGTGGTGGTCGACGGTTGTCCAAAACCAACCTGCGACTCTTCAACTACTTCGTTGAATCCAGAGACCACACAACATCCTACATTCTTTTCCTATGTACATACACAAGCAGCTTTTGCACATACCAAACGAGGTCTCAGACATCAGCCGCTCAATCGTACTCCGCCACTCCTGCAGCTGATTATATCTCAATTTAACTCGCCCTGAAGCATGCATATGCAGCTCCGCTTGATCGTCACCCTAACCTGAGCTACAAGTACTTTGAGTGCAAAATATCTCCGAAAATACTCAGTACTGTTAGTCCACTGGCATGAGACTTCAATAATACACAATCCCGCACATTGAGCGCGCGCGCCCACTTGTCGTTCTCTTCGATTTCGCACATCTCACCTTCAGTCGTTCTTTACCCTACCTACTATCCTAACCGAGCACATCCTTGGAGCCTACGATCGAACTCGCGAGTCACCGAATGCGTCGCCGGCTGCTTGTTGCGACGATGAGATAATTATGTCCTCGCCCCCTTCGTCGGTGAAGCTCATATCGCCGAAGCGGACTGCTCCCAAACGGACACCTCTACAAGAAAGAACATCTTCGGAGACAAATGAGCTCTCAGCTCGTCTAGGTCCAGAGTCAAGATCAGACCAAGGGACTTCGGACATATACAAAAGCACTCCGTTCCCTACGAAACCTGCTCACGTTCTCCTACCCAGTACCATCCGCAGGAAGAAGAGCTTTGGGCCAAGCCAACTCGCCGACACTTCTGGGTTTCTGCATGAGAGTCCATCGGTTAGAAGCAGCGATGCTTCCTGGAGTTCGCAAGGAGGTGGCGGCGGTGGAGGAGGAGGAGGATCAAAGCCTACTGTTAGGCTGAAGCGATCGGTCAAAGCGTTGAGAGACCTGTATGAATCTCAAGCCGAAGAAGCGTCCCGTCCATCCACCGCAACGTCACCGGCCCTTCGCCCAAGCACAGGCAGTTCGTTTCGATTGAGAAGTCTCAGCTCGAGTGAAAGTCTATCGGGCGCGTACGCTTGGGAGTCGCTCCAAAAGATCGCGGCCGATGATTTGGCGCTGCTACCCTCGTTACCACCTGGGCCTCTTACCCTCAAAAGGATTTCGTCTCGCTCCTCTTTCACGTCGATCCCGGAGAGGGCTGCTGCCACTTCGACGCCAAACTACAAAGTGCACGCAGTAACGTCAAGTCCAAGACTGCCATCGTTCAGAGACCTGAGAGGTCCTTTGCTAGAAGCGTTCGAAGAGGTATCAAGTGCGGAGTCCGAGAACGAAGTCTCTTCGAGTCCCAACATTATTCGGCTCGCACACACGTCCAGCCCCAAGCAATTTCAAAATATCGCTCCATCGTCCAGTCCAAACGTGGTTCGTCTTGCGAAATCCTCCAGTACGGATCAGTTCCAGAGCAGCGATCAGTCGTCCAGTCCCAATATTGTGCGTCTCGCGCACACATCCAGTACGGAGCAATTTCCAAGCACCGACCAGTCGTCAAGTCCAAATGTTATAAAACTAGGCCCGTCATCCCCGACGGCGGCTCGTCCTGACTTGTCCAACTCTTCTCCACTTTCGAGATCGTCGTCGAGCTCATCGAAGAAAAGGAAGAGGTCCGAGTCCGTGGGAGGGACGTCTTTCGCCGAACGAGGTGGAGCAACGATTTCACTGGCATCGAGTCCCCCAGTTCGCCGTTACGTTCCATCGTCTGCTGCAGGAAGCGCGAGCTCTCCTGTTGACCCCGGTATTCCGTCTTCCGCGCCACAAAGCATCAAACAAATTAGCGAGCCGGTTGATGAATCTAGTCCAGTGGACCGACTTTTGGAGAGAGATGATGGGACTTCCGATAGCATTTCTGTCGGCGACACTCACGCTAGTCTTCAAGCCGCTCTAAGCTCAAGTCCACCGCGTATTCAATACCCCATTGTTCGAGCTCCTGCTGTAAGCCAACATGCTGGCCTTGCAGTCCCCAAACGTACTTCGAGGTCCATGTCCACCCAAGGATCCTTGCCGAAATTCTCATCACGGTTATCAGCGGTCCCCTCTGAGGGCTCGTGGGTTCGAACCAGACCAACCAGTGAAGCATCCTCAGTCCCCGATGATCTCGACCAATATCTGTTGTCTGAAGACCTGGCACCAGCATCCACCTACATCATCAATGAAGGGGCAAACCTGACTCAAATCCGACTCGTTCAAGAAGCGGAAACACCGGACGAGCCACAGTGCGACTCTGAGTGGGAAACAGAATACAGTCATCAAGATTTGGATGCGCACCAAAACGAGGCGACGGACGAAGTCTCAGCTTTACCTTGGACAGAGTATCCGTATAGATCACCACCCCTTCGATCAAGCCGGAGCATCGGCTACATGTACTCTTCAAATAACTCTTCACAGCAGTCAATTGCGCGACTTAATTCCATGAAATCATTTACGAAGTCACGACCAAACAGATCCCTTTCCAATTCCCTCCGCCCGGGTTCTTCTAGCAGCATTACGAGCGTCATCCCTGTTCCAACATGGGCCCGAAGGTATTACTCGGGGTTTTACAGGGATTCATTTCAGTACCTTTATTCTAGCGGTTCATACATGAATTTGAGGGAGAGAGCGGCAGCCCAAGCACCAATTCCAGTACATTTAGAACCACCTTCGCGGCCCCAGACGTCCAAGTCAGCCGTCAGCACTGGCGTTCGCAATATCCATCAGGGAATGACTGATGGCGTTGGAGGCCCTTTCCGCCCGAGGAAACGACCAAAGGTCGAAGCCCGGAAATCACATCTTCTACCGGGTGTTGGACCGTTGGTCTCCAACCCAGTGCGCCCTCTACCAACTGCCGCCCCGGCCTTGCCTGGCCGACGACAATCTTATCCACAAACACAATCTAATCCAAATCTTCACACTCGCTCAGTTTCCTTGCCGTTAAGCCCTGCCGACCCTCGGGCCCATTGGGCTGGGGTAGTCGAGATCCATGAACACCCATACGAAGACGGACGAGGCTCTCGCTACATGATCCACCATCACAGCTACACGTATAGTATCTCCGCCTCCCAGGTTGACTCCCAAAATGACCAGTCCGTGATACACCACCATCAGGTCAACCCAAGTGGCAACATATTCCGTCGGTCCTGGCATCGTTGGTCCTCTTCTCCGCATCTCCACCACGATGCCCGTCTAGGCACGGGTTCGTCGGTCTCGCGTGGCTTTGGATTTCCGTTCAACGCGAAATCCCGCTGGATGACTGGTCTTCCTGATCTCGTCTCGGGCGGAGAGCGTCAGTCGCCGCTGCACATTGATCTTCGCTCCATCCAGGTGATATGTTTCACCGCCGGTTTCCTCGTGCCTGCGGTTTGGTTCATGGGTGCCCTTCTACCCCTTCCCGCGAGACCCGCCAGCTTTGGGGACATTGAGAAGCAAGTGGTGCAGGAGCAACGTCAGAGACAACGTCAGTCATATCCACTTCAACAATCGCAGCGGTATTCTGTATCCCAACAGTTCAATTCAGATTATTCCCTAGACGAACGAGAGAGGGAAACGATGGATATCTTGGCCAGACTCCGCTTTGAACGGCACGCCGCTGGCGTGGCAGAGCTCAAATTCCAGAATGCTCGATGGTGGCGGAATTTGAACCGATGGATGAGCGCCGTCGGTGTCATTGTCTTCGTCCTGGTGATAGTGTTAGCAGTCTTGGGAACAGAACACAAATGGGGCGAGACATAGCCGGGGGCTAGCAATGTGCGTCTTGATCCAAACCAGACCTTATAACATATACAGAATCGAGAGTGGCACCAACAGGCACCATCTCACGGAACAAAGGGCACCAGAGGATGTGGGTGAAGGCGAAATCTTTTTGATGATCTCGACCTAGACATACGTATCTATCTACTTCACTCCGCATATCTACTACTACTACACACATATTTCTTCTCATATACTCACACACCGAGCGAACTATCAGCGTTCCGAGCACCCTCGACGGGAGAGATTTCTTACAATCAATCAATCAATCAAATATTATTATTTATCCATCTATTCTACTGTGTCTGTCTCCCAATGCTTTTCCTCCTGTGCGTGCTTGTATTCTCTTCCATTCCTGTGCACCATGTGTCCGTGTCCGTCACCGCTCCCTAAAATATACCGAGGGTAACTTGATGCGTGGATTTGTGATGGCCCTCCGTTTGACATTACTAAATACTCTGGCAGGTAATATGTACTACGTACGACGTGTGATGTATGTGTGATGGATATGTGAAGCTATAGTACCCACGGTACCTGTAGTGCATATATAGTAGGTATTCTACCAAGGTTCAAGTAGATGTCTCGGATTGGTTGAGGTGTACCACGTATATATACCGTACTTATTGTACCTATATACCTATACCTATATCTGAGCTTGTACCAGGACTTGTAAGTACATAACTTCCAGGTGGCAGCACACTGTCGTGGGGGAGAGAGAGATGGAGATATACCGAGTAGAGATAATAGAAAGGTCACTGTGTTCCCCAGACAAAACGAACGCGGTAAGAATCCACCAATCAATTCAGTCAGCCTCACTTCCTGACGCGAGGCGATGCATACCGAGCACGAACAGTGAAAAGTATCTATCTGCTCTTTCGGCTACCGGTCTCTTCTTTTATTCATTGAAAATCACGTATGAAGTGAAGATCACGGCATTTCGGGCAAGCAAAGGCCACAAACACTACGCAGTACCGAGTAGTTGACTTTCTTCCATTCTACTTGTACCGTGTACAGGACGAATAGGGGTCATCCATCTCCGACCATGTCTTCTCAAAACACACCATCTTCTTTTCCATAAGTCGTTCATACTTAGTCTGGTGTGGGTGTCCTCGATTTTGAATTCCAGTGTTCTTCTCTTCCTCGCAACCTCTTCTGGCTTTCTCGCTGGGTTTCCCCAAATTGGCATGGCAAATCAGTCCTGAAGTCTTGGGTCAGGCTCGCTTTTTGGGACCTTTCCAGCCATTCACCAGGCATTGAGGCCGTGATAGAGTGGTGCGAGGCATCTTGGTCCCTGGCTCATGTCCACACGCTTGGCTCCAACGAGAGAGTCCTCTTGGGTGATACAACTTCCATCCGCGCGGCAGCTGTAGAATATACATGGATTTCACCTTCAGAAATCACCTTTTTTTATCCCATACCCCTCTGAACGCCTGGTTGTGTTCTCGAATACATATCCACTCGATCCGCTGGGTCGGAGATTGGCAGAAAAAGAGCACGTTTCGATCCAGAGCGCATTAAAGGCTCCCTGAATTCTCATCTCACAAGGCCTCTAAACAGGCAACTTGAAGCTCTTTCCTTTGAGGACCCTGGATTCGCAAACATGTCAGCTGCAACTCCCAAAAAACAATCTGCGCCAACCTCCATTTCCAAGCTGGTCTGCGCGAGGAATATCAAGAACTCACTTGGTATAGTAAACCCAGAAAAAGTCGGAATACAGGATAGTCTGAATCACACCGGCGACCACAGCAATCGGATCAAAATGCCCCTCTGCGAACCACCGATAGATCCAGTTCGGAATGTACAGAGCACGGTATATCCCCAGCGCAAATAGATAGTGTGTGGTAATTGTCTCGGCCTCGCCCGTCCTTTGAAGCATGAACAGCTGGGGCAGGATAGCGACGCTTTCGAGCCAGATAGAGAATGCCCACAGCACTTCGGGGATGGTGTAGCGGTAGGGGAACAGCAAAGCGAGAACGGCCGAGCCTCCGGTGAGGTACGAGACGCGGAACGTGTCCAGATTCGGATCGTGGGTCGGTTTGTAGTCGTTTAACATTACGTAGAGGGTATAGAGGGAGGATGAGAGGAAGATTAGCTTGAAGATGGTGTTCCATGCACTGTCGGTGAAGGTCCAGAAGAGGTCTGCGCAAAGCATTGACCATGTTAGAGAAGAGGTGTTTTGCGGCGCTGAAGCTTCTGGGGGCAGAACGAACCAAGATACCTCGTCACGTAGACGAGAAAGTATAGCGCTTGAGTTTTGAACGAGATTCCTGAACATGACTGTGTCCACATCGCACAGATAGATGGTCAGCGATCAATGGTCCTGCTTTCTCTTCGCCGACGTCGTGTCGTTGCGCAAGGGAAATTTCTTCGACATACGTTCGAGACCTTCATTTTGTGAAGAAGGATGAAGATTGAGACCAGATGCGACAGGTCCGCTGCGCGACAAAGAGTTGAATTAGCATGCTGGCGACTCTCTATATGGGGAGGTCCGTGTCCGCATACCGAGTAGCCTGAAAAGATTCATGGTGGGCGACACTCAACAGGAGATGAAGCAGCTGGGCACAGCTCAAATGGGAGTGACGAAATGTCGACGACGAGACCAAGTATCAACCTCGTAGATTGAATTGGAGGGTGTTATTTGTTGGGCGAAAAGCGCAGGTAAGCGGCAAGAGATCTTGAGGGTAACGATTCAATTAGAAGAATGGAAAGCTGTCGAAAGGGTTCGAGACCGGACTTCAAGACACGGAATGTAAAATGGTCAAGGAGGGACAAAATGGCGCAGTTCGGGGATGTAAGATGGTTGAAGATGCGCAGAGAATCGTTAACATGCCAGGCTGTTCAAGATTCTTTTTGGGCCAAAAAGGGACCGACGAACGCGCATGTTCATACGCAGGCTATGATTGGCGGAGCGGGCGGATGAAAGGCTCCAGAATCCTCCCGTCAAGCTTCGTTAGGCTCAGTAGCAGCCGTCAGCGCTGGAAACCCTGCAAGAAACTCACCTAAGGGCGCCAATAGACAGCCCCTATTCCTGCCACTCTGGGTACCTCTATGCCTAGAATCCCCACCCAAAGGGGGGAAATCTGGGCAGGTGGCCCCCCCCTGAGATGCCTAAGCCCTATGAGTTGCTCAGTGAGGTGCACCTCATACGCAACTGGGAAACTCCGTAAGTCGTAGGTTGCAACAATAACAACGGAGCTACGAGTAATCTGGTTTAGCCAACCAATGTACCCGTATCATCTACATATGTATGAGTACATAAAGACTGAGCCCTATGTAGGTACATATGGGAACTCGTCCGCCACCAAAAACACCCCCTGATAACCCCAACCCCTAATCCCAAGTATCGACATGTCGGAACGTCTTCAAGACCTTGACTCGTCTAGGTCTCTGACTCCCTTGATCGCGTTCCGCAAACCTTCTTCTAGGACGAGAAGACAGTCCATCTTCGTCCCTATCCCTCTCCACCAGCTCGTCCTGCTCCAAGTCAAAACAGATCTCCCTCTCTTCCCTGCCACCAGTACCATTCTTGCACACAGGATAAAGCTCTCTTGTGAACATGTCGCAATAAACCCCCTCGGAGAGACTGACGAAATGCGGGCCCTTGGCGGATACGCTCTCGCACATCTGTACCGCGCTAGAGAGGTTCAGGCTGCTTTTGACAAGCGCCGAGTCGAAGTCGAGGTTTGGGGTGATGCTGTCGTCGCGAGAGACTGTGGGCGCAATCAGCTGCCGTCGTGAAAGAGGACTTGAAGGTTGATCTTCCCGTAACATTATAAAAGGGGTTCGACACAGGTCCTCTACCGAAGTAATGTTGTAAAAATCCAGGTCCTTCTCATCAGTCTGCAGGTTGAAGCTGATACCGGGCAGTCGAATACCGTTTGACCCCCGGCGATCGATCCAAACACAGGACGCAGCTTTCCCCTGGGCGTTGGGGAGGACCGTCAACGCAGACTCATAGTGATCCGCGCCACAGATCCTCCCCAAGTTGCCCGTCATGGTGATTTCGGAGCCGTCAGGAGCCGTCAAGCGCACGCCGGCCATACAGAGGGACATTTCCCCGGCATTGGTGATGTATATCCAGTCCGGCACCGTGGTGCCAGGAACGGTGACGGCGAGTTCTTCCTCTTCACCAAACACATCCAAACCACCACCGCCTTCGCCAACATTATTGCTGCTGTATATCGTGACTCCGGGGATTTCGTCGTGGTCATCGTCTCCCTGGTTCGGTCGACCCCACTCCTTCATACCGTTTATCACTGTGACGGTGGTCCCTAACAGATCCCTTTTCCTCATGGGCAACATATTATCTCCACCATGTTCCCAATAGTTGCAAGCCGGTTTATCAAAAAAGTCCTTGTTTATGGGCGTCCCGCAAGGGTCGCTGTCGCACTTGCGGAAGATGCCGCATGCCATCCCGACCGAAAACGAGCCCGTGAGGCCCAACACGCTGGCCGTGGTGGCAGCATGATACCAGTGCCCCTTCGCCCAGGCCACCGCCCGGATCCACGAATAGGCGTTGCCCATGACTTGTGAGGGCAGGAGAGGGGACGGACTCCGACAGATGTCATGTACTCGCTCGGGCTAGATAGTCTGATGAAACCCTTCGGTCAGATGAGGGAGACGGGAGACGAATGAATACAGAAATACCTCAAGAGGGTAGGTCACAGAGCAAGTGTCCTGGAGCACAAAAGTAGAGATCCATAGCTGTGTTCTATACATATAGCATTTCTCAGGCACGAGGAAAACATGAGGACGAGGACCTGTCGGGGGAATAAACTTTGCATGGCGAGGCTGAACACACAAATAAATTTTGTTTCCGTCAAGTGAATGGCTTGTCCAGATGCTTGTCTAGATGGTTGCCCCATTACTGCGGCTGTAAGCTTGAGCTTATTCTTGGTGTGTTACTTGGAACTTAGATGAGAATGTAGTGTAACCGCTCGCAAATATCTGGGAGACTGGCCGGTGAGGGTACGGGTCCGGATCTGGACGTTTATGAGCTTTACCACAAAGGTCATTTAGCGCGTTCAGCATGTGCTCATTTGGGGAAACTTCATTCATTCATGGTGGTAGAGAATCGGACCTTGCCTTGAGGCACAATGACCTGTGATATATGTAGTCCATGGGCATCTTGATCAACACAGCCTCGACCCAGTTAAGCACACAGGATTGAACCACTGGCGAGTATTGTAGTCCCTTTCTTTTGTCTTTCCAAGTCCTTCCATATCCCCCTTCTGCATTTGTCTGTCCCCCAAGCACTTAATCCGGATTCCACACACCAGTGATGAAGAAAAGGGGCAAAGTAATGTCAGCCCGAAACATGTCAGCACCTGGTGTGCCTTTGGACATAGATTATCCCGTCGTTCTGTAACACTTGGAGTGCTGCTTCATTCATCGTTATATAAATCGCAAGGCTTTTTTGTAACCGTCATTCCTGCGCCAAAGTTCCACATAGAGGTGACGAAAGGGTAGATAAACCAGCAAGTTTGCGCCAACCGGGCCTAAGAAAATGAGATGTCTTCAACTCTGTGGCAGCGAAAGGTGGTCCAGCTTCCCCGTAGTGCCTGAGAGAGGCAAGTCCGTGAGAGAGTCCGTGTCGTCGTATCATAAAGCGAAGCTAACGCCGTGTGTTCCGTACCGTTTCCTGCTCATCGTGAGTCGCACATGGAGCGATGCTGGCTCATCAGTCATAACATTAGTGCACATCGTGGCCGAGCAGTCAAATATAATGTTCGACCTTGATTCCATATGCTGGTTCTGTTGGTACATTGCCATGCACATTTTGGGGCAGTGAAGATGAATTATATGCTGGTGAATGTCCTGTGGCATTTCCAAAGTTATTGACAGATGGAAAGTTCAAACCCGGTGGTGTTGCATTGGTACAATTCATGGACATGGCGGGTCCGGTGTGGTAGTGGTCGCGGTGACTGAGAGGGTCATGCTTCAGCCCAGCAGAGACATGGCTGACCTCTGAATGAGACTGCAACGGTGTCATCCACCGGTTCTGCTGTTGAAAAGCTGAGCTCGTTTTGAATCCCGCTGTCTGCAAAGGCAAGCATGTATTTACAGCTGCCTGCCTGATTACCGTAGAGCCCTTCCTTGATCCGGCCACAGATAATGCCTCTGGCGAGTGAGCTTCTGCATTCGTTTCGGGGCTTTTCACTGAATCTGGAGGCGAGTTACGACTGGCCCCTCGTCTGACCTGACAAGTGGGACACAGTTTAACAAATCTGGAAATGAGCTCTTTGGGTACCCTAGCATGCATGGTTAGTCTCTCGAACCATAAAGAAGGCTTGCGAGTCGAACCATGAGTACACCTTTCTGACCTGCGCAGACGTTTTGTCTCGTCCGCCGTGTTGACACTGTTTGTGTGCCTTGGTCAGGATCTTAAACAACTTCTCCCGCACTGCCACTGGTTTCCCTTCATGGCAAATCTTCCTTAAATGCTAGACCATGTCAGCCATTGACGCTGGAAAATGCGCCCTATCTCACCTCTGGGATTTTGCTGTCGTTAGGTTGCAGTGTAAACATCTTCTTGACCCAAAACCTAAGCGGCGGTCAGCATTCTATAACACTTGAAAACACAGCTGTCCTCTTTGAGTAGAATCGGACTGACCTGAATTGCGCCGACTCTATGGCCGTTGTCTTCTTGTCAATCAGGACATGTTTGATGTTGGCAGCTCGCCGCGCATGAATGAGAGCTTTGTCCTGTTTCTTGGGAGAGAGGTCTTGGACGTAGCTACAAATAGTGAATTAGCAATGCTCAAAAAAAAGAGGCGGGCACTTTCTGTACCGTTTCATCAGCTCATCGAATTCGTGTACATCCGGATAGCCCTCGAGTGGGGGTAGAACAGGTTCTGACAGCATCGTGTCCTCGTTTGGAGAGTCTTGACACTCTGTGCCATCCATTGAAGTGTATTCTCGTGGAGGAGCGAGTCGTTGATGGTGTGAAGTCGTCCGATTCCCCGAAGACGTGCTGTAGTAAGAGCTCTGTGGGAAAGCACGAGACTGGGAAGGAAGCGTAGGAACTCGTGGGCCTACAAATGAATAATTGAGTTGTGAACCGGATGTGGGAGGCAAATAGAGAGGAGGAGCAGACGTTCCTGGACTCGGTGCGTAGTTTGCTGAGTACGTCGAACACGGGGTGTGTACAGTCTGATACTGAACTTGACCATCACTGTAGAGGTAGCTGAGACCGGTTCCATTGGAATAATGCGACATGGCGAGGTGCGGACTTTGAAAGAAGGAATTGTAATCCTGACTGCTTCGTGGCGCATAGTCGGTCATTCTTGGAAGTGCAACAAATGATAGAAGGCCAGTCAAACGAGATCGCAGCGGTTGAATACAGGCACAACGTTCACACCACAGAATCTGTCACGGCTGTCAAAAAAGAAGGAATATGACAAGTTCGATGCTCTTGGACTGTGCTGATCGCTTCTCCCGTTGTTGTTAAGTACTTTGAGATACCTCGAGTGACTCGACGGGAGGCAAAAGAGCGAGGAGGAGTGTAGCTAGACGAGCACGAAGGCAGTCAGTCCGCTATAGAGATGGAAGGAGAGAGCGGCGGCAAAGGGTGATTAGAACTTGAAGAGTTTAAGACAAAATGCTCGTTGGGTCTCTCATATGAATTCAAGAATAAAACAAAAGGTGAGGTAAGGTGTCGAAAGGTTAACCACGGCAACACGCGTAGTTGATATTCGAGACAGAAAAGGCCGATTAGAAGAAGTTAGTGGCAAAAGCAATGTGCTGGACACCTACCCGCCTAAATGGGTTAAGAGGCCCATTCTTGTGCTGCTGTGGAGATACGAGGACTGGCCAGCAAGGGCAGACAAAGACTGAGGTCTGGCTGGAAATGAGCAGGATCCATGAGCAGGGCGGGGGGGTGGGCATGGCGAAGATAACGAAACCGTGAAGGCTAGGAAAAGGGTCTGGAGTAGGACGCATATGAGAGAGAACGAGGCGCTGCCAGCATTAGAAGTGGCAACGGTTGGTCACTCGCCTGCGGACATGATTGGATTCCGTTGAGTTCCCACCCGCCTTGACCTCCTGCCCATTCTCGAGGTCGTTCATCTCTCTGTCGTTCTTTCGGATCGTGGGGTGGCCGTTCTCCTCGGTACCCATGCCTAGCTGTATGCACATCATAAGTGCATTTCTATGCTTGACAGATGTTTATTATCGTAGAGAGGCTCAGGGGTGGCAACCACAGAAACATCTTCCATTGAGGTTGATGCAGTCTTAGGAAGAGCCTCCCCGGTACAGAAACAACGCTGGCTGGTGGTGTCTGGACTCTGGGCTCTGAAGATTGCAAGTATGTGGTGACCGGAGTCTCGGGCTCTTCAGCAACACCTACTTCAGGTCATCGAACCAATTTTGAGTATTCTCTTTGAGTGGAGAGCGAGCGTGCAGGTCTGCAAGACTGCAACGGTTTGCTCCCCAAGAGAACCAGGCGCCTGAGAAGGATGCCCCTGTTCAGATCGAGACAACTAGCCATTTTGGGTAGCCTGGTAGAGGTACCTGTAGGTCCAAGGGACGCTCGGACCGACATGTTCGATCCCTGGGTTTCCAGGTTCTCTTTGCGAGACACGTTGATGGCCCGGGACAGGGGTGTCCACTGGTTTGTGAGACGTTGAAAGAGGCGAAGCCCCCAGCCAACCTGATGAGAGCAACTCGGGCAAGGTGAAGCCACCACGAGTTGAGCACTGACGCTGTTCAGCGGGACCAGCAGAGGCAGCAATGTCCATGAGCAGATTGGGAGAGATCGCTAGAACCAGATGGTGCGTCGCATGCAGATGAGGGCGCAGAATGTTTGTTTGCTAGTATGCAAGGGTTGAAGATCAGGAGTCGAAATCGCAGGCGGCGATACCAAAGTACGAGTCACGAGGCTCTGATTACCCACACGTGATCACAGTCACGTGTATCCCCCTCAGCCTTTGACAGCCTGCGCTCTCTTCTTCCCATTCCTTGTTGCTCTCCCTCACTCAACTTCTCCTGAACACAACGCTCCCTCTGTCAACATCTCATGTCGCGCTGCATTCAGCCGAACTACATTATCTGCTCAGTCCCGTATCAGGGCTGCAGCCGTGCTGAGATATGCTCTACTCATCGCTCCCACACCAACCCCATCTTCTCCTGCAAAACTTCGTAGTGGCTGCAAACCCCCCTCCCACCAAATTCGTGTCTAGACCAAACAAGGCTCACCGCAGTAACAGGATTTCAGACCTGGTCATCTCCAGTGATTGACGCATGTCTTTCGACCTGCGCTCGCATGCATGCCGGCTTTCAGCCCGACTTGTCTGCAAGTCGACCCCCTGTCTTTGGGGCTTGGTCTGGGGCCCCTTCCCAGCCAATGGTCTGGCTAGCTTTGTTTGCTGCTTCAATCCTCCACCACTGGTCGGGTCAAGACACATAACCTCCACTTCTCTACCCTCAGTACACCTGATGATGTTTTCGGATCTTGGGTCGAAATTTCCTACCGAGATCCATTCCAGCCTAACCGACAACGGGAATGCCCTAACCTGCTCCCTTCCTCGTACGCATACTCATATGAACTGACAAGTTTTGTATTCGGCCCACCAAAGGCGGATAGCAAACAGACAATTTTCTGGGTGGCCAATCAAACCCCGTGGTCTCTGGCTGATCCATAGACTGGTCCGCTATCGCCACTGATGCCTGCCACGTGGACAGACAACAACTGCGGCGAGAGCATCGCCAGCGATGAACAGAACTCGTGTTACACGGATAGCCCGCTTTGCATCTCCTCGTGGAAATGATCGCCATGATTGGTCGGGTCTACGCCAACCAAATCATTGGATGCTTGTCACTTGAATTGGTCCTAGGTACAGGACGAATTGATGTTCTCCTGCGATTTCGAGGATCCCCCTTCCCGGATCTCCAATCTCTAGGCCGGTGGGCAAGCCACCGTCTCAGCCTGATACTGTATCGCTCCCCCTCTCTTGGACACTCCTGCAAAGACCGCCTGGGCGCCTGTTTCTCTACTGCGACTCTTCGAGGGAAACTAACCACGATTCGTCCAGGAAATGCAGACGTAGTCACTTCTCTGAGCTCGCAAATCGGAAGTTGAACCGTACTCACGGACACGAAGCCAACCAGAGACATGCCACCCAGGCAGACATGATTGTTCCACAGGTCAACACAAGGACTCAACAACCAGCCAAGCAACCTTTGCCCTGTGAGGCCGATGAGCAGCTGTGACGATCGACCACCCAGGCCACTAACCGCCGTGTCTTATTCGCTCTTGGCCCTGCCAAAGTCGCCATCCTCCTTCCCCGGAAAGGGTCTCAAAAGTGTATCCACATGACGGCAGAGGTTCACATCCTCAGCAACTTCCAACAAAAGATACCAGAGAACCGACCATATTGATTGGACCGTTGGTGGGATTCTTCAGCAAATGATCCTGGCCTTGTTTTGCGTCCCTCTCATGATGTGTCTGACATCCACCTTGAATTTTCTTGGAGCGCCAGAACTCGGCTCACAATGATTGACATGTACATCGGCCGGAGCTTAGCGACATCATTAGTAGAGGAAGTTCTGAATGACTCAAGGTCGCGAGTTCTGGGCATTCAAACGTCCTGCAGTGTGATTCTTCCAGGGGAGGCGGTGTGCGGGCCCCTCGTCCCAAATGGAAGCTCGTACACAGTCCCAAATCTCCTGCTTCATTCGTACTAACCTCTCTGCAACGCAGCCAGTGACTCCATGCATCACGTTTCTATCTAGGCAAACCCATTCTGGGGCAAGGTTTACTCGGTTCAGCGGCGCCTGATGCTGAGGAACTGATGGCTCTTTCTGTTCTAGATGAGCCCCAACAGTTGTCGAGACTCTGACCTCTGTATACCCGGTCCACAGCCTTCTGCCACGTTGATTTTGGAACGTCCTGCTAAAATCTGGCCCAATCGCTTCTCGTGGGTCAATACACTGTACTTTCGGGCTGAATGTGGGCTCCCTTTCTTTGTGGGCGTGTAATCCACCCCGGGGAGGAGTGAGTCGTACACTGGGTAGCAAAGGAAAGGCGTACACAAAGGCAAAAGTCTTCCACAACATATACTGGCCTTGAACGTGTGCCGATAAGCTATTGGACGATGCTCCGCCAGTTCAGCGGCAAGGAAGCAATATATGCAAGCAAGTGCATTGCAATGGACAACGAAGTGATACTGAAGTCTTGAGCAACAGTAAGACATATGCAAGGCCCTACTTCTTGACGGAGGCAGAGAAGTTTGGGCATGTGAGATTTTCAGGTGTCAACTTGATATGACAGCCATCAGAATGAATGCGGTGCTGTTTACAATGCAACTTTAAGCATCTGATGTTTCGGCAGGTTTGCTATTCAACCCGACTACTATATCTCGGGGGTCATATATGAACGGGTGCCGCCGTGCTAGACTAGAATCTGGATGGAGAATCACTTTCATGCCGAGACTTTATGTCAAATATGAAGATTCCGCGGGAGGCCAACACCGTATCAAGAATTCGAAAGCATTCGCCAACCCCTCTGATGCTGGCTTTATCTGAAATGCAAGGACCGGATATGTCTCTCGCAGTCAGCAACTCTTAGGCATTGATTGATCCAGGATATCCCATTGCCAGTCACGGTGCCAATGTCCTAGCTTTGGCTGCTGGGGGTCAGAGCAAGCAAGCATAGCAGTGCTACAAGCCGTTGTGGACTTGTGCCAATCCGCAACCTCAGGAACAACGACACTAGGCTCAAGGCTGCAGCCTCGACAAAGGAACTGCTTTTTCAATAATAAGACTGAGACTTTACATATCGAGGTTGACCTGAGAGTATCACGGCACGAAACAAACCACTTGTAAGCAAGGCTCTTGACCATACTGAATCCGCGAACCTGTATTGGGCTACTTTACCAGTGAAGAGGGCGACCATTACTGCAGGCTAGATGTTGCTGCAGGTTCTATCCGACACATTATGTAGAGATCGATTCTTATGGTAGTGCAAGGGAGAGAATGGAAGAAACGGAGGGCTTGGTTTAGCCTTGTCGCCATCATATTGTCGTGCTTGGTTTCTTCTCCACTTGAATGCGGGGGTCAAGACAATTTCCAGCTTCTTGTACCTGCGTTTCTCATGCCATTTGTTTTTATTTCCACCTTTGTGATCTCTCCCGAACTTTGTTAAAGAGTCATCCATCCTCTCTGTACTCATTGCGTGGGTCTATATCGTTCTCGTATAAATTGACTAGAATATAGCGATC